AGCCAGGAGGAACCTGTTGTTGCTGATCCTAATGGAAGGCATGGGACTCAAATTCAGAACAAGAACAGCCACCGGAAGCACAAGATCATTTGCAACCAAGACCAAACATGAGTAATTCTATCAGTGAGTTCAATCCAAATGAAATCATATGCGATCCTTGCTTGTGTTTAAAACTGTTGCGTTTTAGTTTAAAACTGTTGCGTTTCGCAACCTTGTTTGTGTGTGCCGCGTGAATGATTTTACGCATATTTGTTATTCATCATCTGGCTTGCGGCTAGCTTGCCCAAGCTCATGAAATATCCTGGATCCGCCACTGGCACGCTTTGTGTACATGATGTGTTCACATGGATAGTTAGATAGCTAAAATGTTTCACTTAATTCACATTAGTTATCAATATGTGTATTCTATATGACACAACTAAATAAGTTGGATGACCCTCCATGTATTTTACTCTATTTTCAAGGAAGTTAAATTAGAGAAACGGACAGATATAGTAAATTGGAGAACAGCATCCTTTCACCACGTTAGCTCTAGCATGTCGGTGTTGGCGAACAGGGTAGTATTTACCATATGTGGTTACCTATTAATGTGCCCAAAGTAAATACATCTGTATGGGTTTACCTATGCTCAGTTTTACTCGATCTGAAGTTGTGCTCGACCCCAACTATCTCCTCTGACTTCTTGAACTAGATAGGTGTTTTGCTTTATCCGTGTTCTAAAAATCTTGCCACATTCTTTATTAGATAAAACACCATTCTAGCTACTATAGATTTTCTTTGACAACACAAGGTTAAAGAGAGATATACTTTAACCATCCAAGTGTCCTTTGGGATCAATGTGATGTCCCAAAATAATCTGTGGTGAAGTACTTTATTACATGGGCAACCATAGGCCCTGAGCCCCTTACATCCAAAGGTTTAAAATAAAAGATAGCACATCAAAGACTATATGGATCAGCATTCACAGGCACTTAATGATGGCACAAACTACTATCAAAGCCTTCTCCTCCATTATCTCCTAACCCAATGCTTAGCAACCCATATTGGAAATGCATAGCAATGTATGAGAACATAATGAACTAGCAGATAGGGTTTATTTTGCGTAAAACCATAGTTTAAACAGTCAAAGCACATTTTTAAACATGTTCTTGATCCAATGTCATTATTGTAATATCATCAATTTTGCGTAATCCCACGAATCTATCTTAACTCAGCTAATCCACATGACTAAACCATCATAATCCATTCTCCCAAGATTTACAAAGTTGGGACTAACTTGGAGTAACATTATTCAACATGCTCATTGTAGGAACGAATACAAGAACGAAGCCTCAAAAACGAAATCTTTTTGCAGAATAAAAGAAACCCTTTAACATGAAGGAGCACGGTGTGACCTCAAGTAGTTATGAGGTCTGACCTCTCATATACCTACAGTCTAACTTCCTGATCTCTGTAGATGCTCTAGTCTGACCTCCTAGATGCTTCCGGTCTGACAACCCGGGTGTCGCCGATCTAACTTTATTGCATCAACTTGTGTTTACAAAGTGCATCTAACACACTCATTTCACAACTCATGAACTAGAATCGAAACCTCAAAGCAAACCTTTACTTTTCTCTCTAAAAGTTGCCTTAATTTTGAGACTCAACCCCTCGTCTATTTATATCCACAAACATGGCTACCTACAACCATGAATGCAACTAGAACAAAGAATCCTAATCAAATCAATGATACACGCATCCGCTTACAACTCCAAACTCCAATCTTACCAAACTTGGTCTCCTGCTTCCCATACACACAATTCTTGTTGTATGCCATATGAAAACTTCACCTCCACACACATTATTCTTTAGCCTTAATATCTTGTATGATCTCCTTGGTAGTCTAGACCTCAACTTCTCCCAACTCTAGTCTCGATCCATCATTGGCAATACTCCCGAGGTCTCAAGAGACCATATCCAAGTACAAGTTCTTCCCCAACTTGACTCACATTAGCACACAACAGTATATATCACATATAAAAACATCTAGAAATCATATACATTAAGAAATCAACATACTCCATAAAATTAACTCGAAATCGACTCCCTCCTGAAGTCTATCAGCCTGACCTCTTGCCCCATGTCGATCAGAGAAAGATGATACTCCTTACGGAAAAACCGAAAAGAAATACCATCGTCTGCATCTAGCAAGGTGCAAACAAGAACCCGACTCATCTACCACAGCAAATTTCTCCCATCCTACAACATTCCAAACTCTACGAAAATCAACATCCATACCTATCTTCCGAAGTAGTTTGAGGTCGTATGCTTGGGTGTGAGCAAACGTCCTATCCTTGAGCATATGGTAGGCTTGCATCTCTCGGTCACCTACGAGGTCGAGGTCGGAATCATGAAGGAGTCTTGGCGGAACATTCGCATCCTCCATCGAAACATCAGTCGACGAACGTGTGCTTGACTCGTCTTGGTGACGGCTTGATCGAGAATTTGATCCCTTCTTGAGCAGACGGGTGATCCGTCTCTTCATGACTACAGACAGAGCAAGAATACAAGGCAAACTCGAGCGGGGGTTAAGTTAATACAAAAAATTATACCTATCGGTTAGTCTTGTACTAAGATAACTTGTATATGCAAGAAATTAAATCAAAATGCAAGAAATAAACTTGAGACCAACTTTGCAAAGCTTGAGAAGAATTTGAGAGCAAGAGGAAGTGAAAATGAGTTGAATGTGTGTTGAACCCCCCTCCACTAGCTACTTCACTTATATAGTGCATCCATAACGGTCACAACTGTGATGTGGGGCCCACTAGCCATTGCCAAAAAAAAATTGGCAGGCGACTGTTGCCTGGTCGGTTCAGCCGAACCCCCTGGATTGGTGAACCCCTAGTGGGCCCAACCGGCCCCACATTTAGCCATTGGCTCCCAATGGCTAAATTGGTGGGAGCCACATTGAATTTAGCCGAAAATTTCATTTTATTTTTGCTCAGAAAATTCATTTTTGTAAATTTGTCTCAAATTTAATCCTGATGCAAAGTTTGAAATCTAAACATGCTTTAATGCAAAAAATCAAATTGATGGAAATAAATATGTGATACGTACCAATTTACCTATTGGTGAGGGCAACGTCGTTTTGGGTCCGACGAGCACGACCTGTTCCTCCATCATATTTACCTTGATGATGTGGCACCCGGCTCCGGAGGTGGAGGAGCGGATGTCATCTGTTTCTCCCGCCACAACTTCTTTGTTTTTGGTGCGGCTTGTGGCTTCTTGACTGGTTTCACAGGCTTTTTAGCCTGTGCATCTAGCTTTGTCGATACATTCCTTGGACAGGGCATGCTCACGACTGCTTCCTTTTCCAGGAAGTTCTTCAGTGAAAGCTATCAACCTATCCGTCTTTGGTGGCTTCATTTCGACCTCTTGTATGTTCTATGGATTCGGCCGTACTTGATTCTCACCATAGAACACTGCTCTATCCTTGGTCAAAACTCGAACTTCTCTTCCTTCCCATTGATGTGGAGCCGTATACTCCCAGCTCCCACGTCAATGTTGGCCTCTGTGGTGCTAAGGAATGGACGACCCAAAATGAGCGGCGTCTCCTTATCTGAGTCCATGTCTAACACCACAAAGTCTACCGGGATGAAGAAATCCTAGATCTTTACTAGCACATCTCCGGCGATTCCCGCTAGGTAGCGGAACAAAGAATCGGCCAGTTGGAGCCGCATCAGTGTTGGTGCCAACACCGTGAAGTTGCTTGTCGAAGACCTCCTTGGGCGTGACGCTTACGCTTGCACCAAGGTCATAGAGGGCTTGGTCAAAGTGTTGTCTCCCGATTGAGCAAGTGATTGTGGGACACCCCGGATCTTTCTTCTTTTCCTGGAGCCAGTGGAGTATAGCGTTGCTACACTCCTCCGTAAGCTTCACTACCTTCGTGGTTGGCAGTGGTCTCTTGTTATCCAGAATGTCCTTCAGGTAGCGAGCGTATGTAGGTACCTGCATTGCATCCAGGAGTGGTACGTTTATGTGGATCTTCTTAATGACTTTGACAAAATTAATTAACGAGCGAATTGCTCGTCGATGGATGGCTTTTGATATCTCTAAGGAAATGGCAGCAGATTTGTGTCGTATTATTCCTGCGGCACTACCTTCTCCTTCTAGGTTGCCTCCTCGGTCCCAGCGGTGTTAGTTGGAACAGCTTCCTCGCTATTCCTCCTAGTTCATGCAGTGTTAGGATATGGCGAATCCCGAGTGGATTTTCCTCCCCTCGTGGTGATTGCTTTAGCATTTTCTATGGAGGGTTCAGGTTGCCCCGGAATCCTCCCATATTCATTTGTAGGAACTAGAGCAGCTAGTTGCACCAGCTGAGTTTGTAGCATCTTATTAAAACTCGGTTGGTTTTGGAAAGTAGAAGCAAAGCCATCTAGCTTGACATTTATATTTTCCAAGATGTTATCATTGGTAGCTAACTTCTTGTTTAAAGCATCAGTGGTTTTAGCTTGAGCAAAGACAAGATCCTTCAAGGAAGGCTAATTATTAAAATTACCGTTATTGTTGTTGTTGCTGCCTCCTTGGTAGAATGGGCAGGGCTGGTTTCACCCATGACCTCCTTGTGGACGATATCCGTTGTTCATGAACATTGCCTCCTCATGAGTCTCTGGACAGTCTGTCCCGGAATGACCCGTGTTCCCGTAGACCTCACACATGATGTGTGAGTCTAAGGTCTTGATGGTGCCTTGGGGCTTGTTCTTTTCCTGGTCGTCCAAGCGCTTCATTAGGAGGTCCAGTTTTGCGGCCAGTATTTCCGTCTCCTTGTTGGTATGCATGCCACATTAACGAGTCTAGAGTCGTTCTCGCTCCAGCCTATGTTTGAGACCATTTTCTCTATTAAATCGACGGCACATCTAACCGTCTTAGAGAAGAAAGCTCCTCCAGTAGCAACCGCTAGGTGGTCCCAGTACGAAGATGTTAACCCGTTGTAAAAGCTTTGTAGGATCAGCCAGTCGTCCTTCCCGTGATGACGACAGGTGGCGACGTAATCCTGCAGCCTTTCCCATGCTTCAAGAATGGACTCATCCCTTGTCTACTGGAAGCTTGAGATTCTTCCGCGAAAGGCATTGGTCTTGCCCATCAGGAAGAACTTCGAGAGGAACGCCATAGAGCATTTGTTCCATGTGTCCACCATTGCATGGTTAGCGTAAAACCATTGTTTCGCCTTCCCAAGGAGGGAAAACGGAAACAGTCAGAGCCTGATGGCATTTGGGCTGATGCCTTTCATCGTGTATGTGCTACAAATCTCAAGGAACTATTGCAGATGAGCACTAGCATCCTCATTTGGCTTGCCACAGAAGGGGCTAGCCTGCGCCATTCTAATGAGGCTGGTCTTCAAGTCGAAGTAACCGTCTCCCAAGTCGATGTGTGGCCCAATGGGCACATTGTTAGCAGAGGGAGCGGCGAACTCACGGGAGGTCTTCTCAGCCATATTCTTAAAGCTCGGGGACGCTGGGATGACTGGTTTGTTTGTCGACAAAGTTTTCTGTGGAGGGACAACTTGCGAATTGACACCTAAAAAAAACTTATTGGTTGTCTTGGAAGTTTTTCGGCAAGTCAAAAACAGTCATACACTACCTTGTTTTCACAACAAAGTAAAAACAATCAAGGTTAGCCTGTAAAGGACAATGATTATTTAGAGGTAAATATAAAGTTATTAGCACGTAGTAATCTCTTAATCATTAACCTTCCCGAGCAATAGCGCCAGAATCGCTTGTTGATATTTCTTAATGATATTACTAGAAATATAATCCCCAGTAATGGCGCTGAAATATTCTTGGTATATTATGGTCACGTATATGATCTGCAAACGCACGAATATACCATTGGAACATTTCACTTGGAAGTATTCCAAGGTATCGTACTTATTTAATCCCAAGGGAAGATATGATAAGAGAGCACTATGCTAATAATTTATATGTTACTTGTATACATCAAAGTCTATATAGGGGTTAGTTAATTCAAAAGGGTACGTGACACGAAGAAAGAAGAACCAAGATAATCTCACTAAATATAATCTACACTAAGTGGAAAAAGAATAAGAAAAGAATTCATTCCTATACTTATGTTACACAGTCATCTTTAGTTTACACTTACTATTATACAACCATGTAGCCAATACCCCCCCCCCCCAACTACGCCCTCCTGATGTTTCAAGAGACCATCCCTAATTGTCGAGTTCCTTACGACAATCCGTCATGGCCATCCAACTGGAAATGAATACGGAGGAGTACCCATACCTGGAAAGTGTCTTAGGAATACCCCTATTAAGTTGTCACCATCAGCGGCCCACCTCTATTGTCCGCAGTATATAACCCCAAATAATGGTATCTACTAATCTAAGCCTCATGCTTACATTATTAAATACTACTCTATGTCCTCTAGAATGACATAGAGCAATCATTTGAATGAACATTAAACCCCACACCAGTGCATATCTCTAGTAAGCTAGCTACATAATTATATTAAGACAAGTATAAAGTAAAGTCGGTACTCAGATAATATGGATGAAGTAAAATACTGAAGCTGAATAAAGAAGAATATTTCATTAATTCTATAAGTCTTACAAAAGAAGTAGAAGCTAAGCCATACCCGAAATCTCCTGAAGACTCGAGGACTAAGAGAACTATTCTAATTCTACTCCACCAGTACAAGAACACTAAGCTAAACTTCGGAGAGAGCTTGATCTTCTTCTTGGAGTGTGTGTTGGAGAGTGAATGAGCACCCCTTTATATAACCTCTCAGTGATGGTTATGGCAGTTGGAAATGCCAGAAACGCCCTCCAACCGTCATTGAGAGTACATCTGGAACGTCCACGTGGAAGGACGGGATGAGTGGCTATGGCTAGGGTTTGGCCGAACCTAGGCCGGCCCATCCAGCCTCCACTTTTGGCAGGTGCATCTTTTGTTGGGCTTTATTCTCCGTAATGTGGTGGTTGGGCCTATATTTAATGTTATTTTACTAGATTTGTAAGCCCATCCACCCATAAGTTTATCTCTTGATGGACAGTGATTGATTATTCAGTTATTTTTCATAGATTCTCCTCCAAATATGTAGCAATATCTGCAAACAAATAAAATCCAAGTACAAGTGAAGATAGAGTATTCTAAACAAAATATGCATTGCAGATATAGTTAGTTGTCCTTTATTCCAATTATATCGACGGTCGAAATTGGTCTATAACGATCGTCAACACCTACCCTCCTCAATGGTCAATAGGAGAACGGCAGGCTACAGTGCAAGCCGATTGTTGGTCACACTAGCTTGTGGTAAGTACAGAATGTCCCCTAAGGGGAACCCGAGAACCGATCCTTAATTGGCATCGATGCGACTATCAAAACAATGCATCCATGGTCTACCATTAAGACCAATGAACCATGGCCAAATGTCATGAGCTTGCAACTCATCAAGTAACTAAAGTATAAAGCAAGTTATTATTCCATTTGTGACATAGTGAGACTAAGCATGGCTAAGTGTAACCTATTTCTAGCTAGGTCAACTTGAGAGCCCTAGGCTAGTCAAGTTAACACCCGAATTATGAAGGAATAAGTAAACAATAAACACAACCACATAAAGTATACATAGGCAATCCCTATCCTTAAGTAATTAATGAAACAGTGAATTACATTAGCGGTACATCAACTTAGCAAGTAGGTGCAATGTTTTTAGTGCAACAACTGGAGAAGTGAGCATGCTAAGAACTTAAGAACTGATGTAACAATTTAATTATTTTGAACATGTTTTTTATTATACACATTAAGTTTTCAAGTACTTATTTTATGAATATGCATGCGTAGATTTGTAAATTTGAACTTAGCGAATGAGCAAAACAGTACATCAAAAAACAGAAGCAATACATGGAAGCATTTGTAATGGAATTTTCACAATTTCTGAAAAATTATGCAAGTCACATTGGACCAATTCAACCGATCGAGATGATCCACGGGAGACCGATGGCCAGGATTTGCCTACACAGATAAATGACCGGGATCAGCCGACACACGATCATGCGGGCTCATCGTATGATGGCGCACGGGGCGGCCACGGCAGACTGGCGCACTGAGGTGGCACCGACATGGCGCCACTGTGGTGCCGACATGGGCAACCAAGGGAAAGGGCCACACGGATGGCCCGGATGAGGTTAGCTTGCAGGACAGTCCGACTGGACAGTGGTGGCACGTGGCCCAATGGATGCTGGTGCAGCACCCATCTGGCTTGGCGATGAGCTCGGGAAGCGGCGCAAAGGAGTGGGACGGGATGGGGTCTTCACCGAACGACGAGGAGGACGTCACGTGGAGCTCGACACTGAGGTTCTGGTGGTGGTGGCCTTCAGCTAGCAGTGGTGACGGTCGTCTGGATGCGCTTGTTGAGGAAGGAGCAGTGGTCGAGTGTCTCTGGGACCTAGGGATTTTAGAGGAGGGGTTAGGGAGAGGAGTAGTGTGTTATAGATCGATGGCCAGAACCCGACGAGGCGAAGCGGGCTTATGAGGGATAGCAGCCAGGGAGGCACTTGGGTTGTCACCGACATCGAGGAACCGGCAACCGGAATTGCTCTCAACCTCAAGAAGACGTGGAAGGGTTTTCCGTTTTCATAGTCTCGTGAAGCAAACTTGAGGCCTGGGATGCGGAGTGAGGCGACCTGGAGCGCATCCACCTCGTTTCTGCAAACGAGTGGGGGAGGAGGCAGGGGAGCAGTAGCAATGTGGTTAACGTCAGCCCAGACGCCTCGGTTGGAGGTCAGGGTTGGATCCAACAAGTTGGCCCCATGTATCGGTGCACAAGGGCGGCAACGGTGTAGGGGGTAAGCCAGCCTCACTAAAAGAGGTATACTCCCTCCGTCCCAAAATAAGTACAGTTTTGCACTGTTCATATACAACATTTGATCGTTCGTCTTATTTGAAATCTTTTGATGATTAATATTTTTATTGTTATTAGATGATAAAACATGAATAATACTTTATGTGTGATTAATTTTTATAAATTTTTCAAATAAGACGGACAGTCAAACGTTGGACATGGATTCCAACGACTGCACTTATTTTGGGATGGATGTATTAATTGGAAGTTTTAGTCTACTTGGTAGAATAGACTGGTGATAGAATTGTTTGGTGGTATTATGTGATACCACTGCAATGTAGCACTATGGATGCAATTTTCTGTTTTAACATTTGAGTAAATTTGAAGCACAGCTGAGGGAAAAACAAATGATCATATAGTACTATTTGCTTGAGTAACACTGAGGGTATTGTTGGTGATATGCCTTAGAGGCAATCGTAGAGATGATTATATCACATACTATGTTTACATATTTATCCGACATTGTTCCTTGAAATAGATAACTCATTATTGCTTAATGAATATGTGATTCTTTCATGAGACTTTTTATATTGTATGTTGCTATTTCTAAAGGATCCCTGATCAAATATCATATGTGGAACAAATATGTTTAGATGATCAGCACATGTATTAATTGATGATCATGTCTCATAGATCATGGTACAGAGATACCGAATTAATAATGTAGACACATGTTCGGAAACATGTTGTTGGATAGACCCAACATGAGACATTGCAAGAGCCATATGTGTTGTGTCATCAGTGATCTCATTTAATGTTAGTATTGAATCATTAGACCTGAGATTATCATGGTTCCCAACATGTGTAGTAGCTTACTTAGGGACTGCTAATCGCTACTCCATAATTGGGTAGTTATAAAAGTAGTTTTCGGGTATGCTATAAAACATGTTGTGAGATATGAATAATAAAGATAGGATTTGCCCCTCATATGGAGAGATATATCTGGGCCCCTCGATGTTATTGATTATGGAAGTGCATGGCCATGCCAAAGGTGATTGAGGAGTCAATCATAAGCTATATAATCTATCACAAGTTCGAGTGAATGATTGAACTATTAGAGGATGTCCCATATCTAGCCTTGAGCTTAATCGATATCGTGAGGCAAAGGGGTTCATATAAGTTTACACTAGAAGTTCAACCGATATGATCTTTATGTATGCTCGGTGGGTCAATACGTTCTGCTAGGGACCGCTGTTGACACGTGGACCGAAAAGAAGTTTTCGGGTTGCAGCCGAGTGTATATGAACCTACAGGGTCGCATGTTTAAAGGGCTAGAATAAAGAGATTGGATGGATGGAGAGCCAATATGTACTCAATCGGATAGGGATACGAGTAGGACTCCTATGAGCCTCGAAGCCCCAGTCGTGGATCCTATATATTCGTGAGGGGGTGTGACTGGCGGAATTAACACACCACGTGAAATCCTAGCCGTGACTCCCCTCCCCGAGCAAACCCTAGCTGCGCGCGGGTGCTAGCACATCTGCCCGTGGTGTTTCTTCCCTGGACATGTGGATACCGGTAGAGGCGCCTCTGCTTTGCGGTGCTGATTGGCATGGGAGCACGGCGAGGAGAACGCACGAAGAGGAGAAGGTCGAGCCGGTGCGATCGACTACTTCCTCTACATCGACGCGCACTAAATCGCGAGGGTTCCTTCACCTTCTTAGTGCTTACTTCCGCTGCGCAGTGCGTCGAGTGGTAACGATCTATGATCTAATACTTGCATGATTCCTGGTTTACGCGCTAGAAAATTTTGATTTATGCTATCATAGCCTGTGCGTATCCCAACGGGTATGACCAATCATTTGTTTAACATCCTGAAAATGAAAAATGATCTACTACAGCACAAAACAGGTAATTATGCAATTTTAAAAGTACTGAGCAAAATGCTCTAAGAAGAAATATGTGTATCGATCTAGGACAAGCACTAAGCACTCTGATTTCAGGAGTTACTCTTTAAACATAAATCAGAATGGCGATGTCCAAAGTTGGTGGCTTTTGTCAGAAGCGACAGGTTGATCTCTAGGATTTTTTTTTTTAATTTTTGCTACAAGTTCATAAGGAATACTGAAAAACATTTTACAGCATGTGATGTGTATAACAGAAGTAGATTATTTTACATTTACAACATTGCACGGTTGCAGGTATACAGGATCTGAGTCATGCCCGTTCTGCTGCGAGAGTCTGATATACCCGGAGAGTTTTGGGTACTCAGCTTCATCAACAGCTTGCGGCTTGCCCGCCCCTCACACTGACAGTCTCTTGATGGAGCCTTTAATTTTTACTGTACCTTAGGATGATTAGGGCTGTGTTCCGGAAACGAGATGGTTTATTAATGTATAATTGATTAAATATTAGCTAAAAATAACTTAAAAATGGATTAATATGATTTTTTTAAAAACAACTTTCGTTTCTGACAACATGGTGGTGAATGTTATTAGCTTTTTTTTTTTCTTTTTTTTGTAAAAAACACACGTTCAGTAGTTTGAATTCAGCCTAAGGCCATCCATTGTATTGGATCCAATGAATTTGAATTTGTTGTACTACGCCTGGTAGTATGAGTAATGAATAATTTGATAGGCATAAGTTGGAAATAAAGTATACGGTAACCGAATACTATTCATATTTAAACTTCGACTATTCATCCTTTTAAATACACACACGCACACACACACATAACAAAGACGCCATATTATCAAAGGTGTTGCATCCTTCAGACTGACATGTGCTGCCTGCCCCTTCAGATTTTCAACTGTATATGCAACAGCAGAGAATAAAATGCAACTTTCGACATAAAACCTGTTCACCGTATGTCTTTATCTAAAACAACCTAGTAAAGAAAAGCAAAAGTACTGCAAATACAAACTCTAGAAGAAACACTAGTACATGGGGTTGAAAAAACATCCCATCAAGCATTTCATCTGGACACTACTATCTGCTACAAACTGTACACCAGCTGGTTGGGCAGTGTTTGAAAATGTACAAAGCTCCAACCAAAATCAAACTCGACTCATCAGACGAGGGTCAGCGATCGAGGTTTCGAGAAAATGCTGAGCTTTCTTGAGATATACCGAGCTGATTTTGATATTGGTTGTTTGCAGATCGTGCCAATGGGCGAATTCTCTGCTGCACCATTGACAGCCACCTCACTTGAACATGAATTGCCAAACTGGTCGCTTTGTCTAGAGTCCCTGAGAAGTTGAAGCAACTTGATTGAAGAAGCCTTTGCAACCTCAGTTCCATTGACCGACAAATCGACCAGCGCAGGGATGACACCTTCCTTCATGACAAGAACACAATCGTCGATGCTGCGAGAGCATAAGGCAAGAAGGATACCTGACGCATGCTCGCGTTCCACGGAGCTTCCTGTGTCCAGATAATCTGAAATAGAACTGAGGCATTGATCAGTTCTGATAATGAGATCCGCAGCTTGTTTCCCTTCACTTAAATTTAGTAGAATCTTTAGGCAACACTCAGGCGATTTCCCTTGACTGAGAATTGGAGATAGCTTTGAGATTATTCCAGAAGAAATTAGGAAAGATTGTACATCATTTTTGAATGAAAGCTCGCAGATGATCTTCAAAACTAGTTCTAGGCACAGGGAGTCTGCACTATCCCAAGCTAGAAACACAGATGGAGCAACAACAGATGCCATGAGACGAGATTTCCGACAACTTGGTTGCTGCAGCAGTTCATGGAGTATCTCCAATGCTTCAGTTTTTAACTCTGAATCAAGAAATGAAGCAACGAGACGCACTGCATCTTCACTAATGGATGGAATTCGGGTCCTGTATGAAAAGGAAATCAGCCGTTACAAAAGTTTATTGGAGAACAAACAAAACAAATTGCCATAATCTGAACCCTTTGTTTTTAAAAAGTAGCACAAAACAATCTTCGTTTTTGGAGGATAAATATAGGGCACTCAGTTTTATTTATGGATTTTTATTGAAAAAGGTAGAAACAGGAAATATCTTATGTTTGTCAACAGTAAAATCTGCACAAGGAGATTTTTAGATAATTAATGAATTAAAACCAGAGCTCTACATCCAACATGGTTGTACACAGCCAAACACAAGGAGAATATATTATACAAGAATGCTCACCTGCTATTACGTAGAAAAGCAAGAAAAAACTGAATGCCAGTTCTTTGAGCTTCCATTGTGCATTTTCCATTATCGTTCTTAAGAAACTCAAGAAATGCTTCTAAAAAACCATTGGAAATCATAGAACGCCAAATTTGATATTCACGATTCAGAACACTTTTGAAATCTCTGACAGCCTTCACTTGAAGTTCCATTGGAAGCTCGGACAGCTCGTAAAAGAAATTCAGAAACATCTCCTTGTTGAAGCTGCTGAAGGACAAATACAACTGGTAATAAGCGTTTGAAAAAAACTGAGTAGAATTAGTCCTTGACTCTTCTGTTTCCCGCATTGGAGATGATACATAACTAGAACCAGATAATGCAACAGATGAACTGCTATGATCAGACATGTAATCTCTCTTTGTTCCAGCAACTAGAGGTGCTGAGATATTGTGTAGACTTGAAACAGAGTAACTATGAAATTGTTCAGGTAAAGAAGTGAATTCAAGCTCATTATCTTTGCACCAGTTGCAGATCACAGCCTTCATACAAGTATTTGGAGTAATCGTGAAATTTTCTAACTTTAACTGTGTCCTAGGACAAATATCATATCCCTCACTGAACCATTTCTCAATGTTCTCTCTCTCATAGGTTTGTCCAGATGCTATTATCACAGGATCGTACATCAGCTTCATAGATAGTGGGCAGCAGAACTCTGGAGGAGTAGAAAATCGTGACAAATTATTCTGCTCTTCACATCTTCCAGTCCAAGAGTTTGTAGGTGAAAAGCATTTCTGTGGAGCATCGGTACCACTAGCAATTAGGTTTGTACTCGAAGTAACGTTTGCAACATCCACACCTTCATTCTTTGCACTACCCTCAGGCTTCATAGTCTTTCCATATTTCCTAACTAGATATTGAAAAAATTTGAGTATTCCTTCCTTTTTGGGATCATTACCATTGATCTTGTCCAGTAGTTTCTTGATTGCTCGTCTTTCAATTAAGATAGCCTTTGGTGACGTCAAATTTAACTTTGACGCTGCAAACAAGAAAGTCTGGAGTTCATGTTCTTGGGTTGCATCAGACTGCCGAAGCATCTCCAAAATGGCTTTGCCAGCCTCATCTTCTTCTGGGTCAACAATGAATTTCACATCCCCAAGATCATCATGAACATCAGCCACCTAAGACAAATAGTCAAGTATAAACATGTTAATGTGACAATCTGTGCGATATTTAGATAATGGAAGAACTCATTAAATTGCATCGAGATGATACAATTGTCCTGAGAATTGATGTGTGTGTTTATACTCACACATCTGCCATGTAATCTAAAAAATCTTTTGGAGAAACAACAAAAAACATAGATCATGTTTCTGGATACAGTACTGTCTAAACCTCCAGATAAATGTTTGTGAATAATATCCTGAAATTGTTAGGTTTTGTTGATGCCCCAGAAATAACAGACGCAAGTACTGTCCAAGGAGAGCTTCATCTCTATTACAGACGCAAGTTTGATGTTGTTTGTGTCATCACTAGCTTCAAACTTTTAACACAGCAAACCATGTGGTTAATGCTGTGCAATGTAGAAAAAGTTTGCCTGTTATTATCAGTTCAATTAAGTAAACTAACCTGATTAGCTAATGATGACGGGACCATATTCTGAACCAGGAACAAGCTTCGCCTCAGCGCATCTCTTATCCTTTCGCACCGCATTGCAGTTGCCTCCCCTGTAATAGCCTGAGATGTGCAAATTTGGTATCAGAAAGCAATTGTTCAGAAACCAGGGAAAACAATCTCAAATAAAACAATAAGATAAAAACAAAGGAGTCATTATAGTTTCCTGAACATAATGACTCATTTATCAATATTAAAGAACAACATACCAAGTAAAGACTACTGCACTCAATGCAGTTCTGGATTATGAGTTTTCCTTTGTCAACTATGTTGTACAGGTTGCATAGTTCCTCTATACCCGCTTTACATCCTGGTTGAGCAGTTTCGATTGAGGGAAGAATAGAAGAGACTTTATCTAACATCATTGTCAATTCACTGCACATTGAGCTGTGAACCTAAGACAGAAAGACAAAAGAATAATTGCATTAACTGTAATAAAATGTTGAAGAATATATAATGGGGAGATAATCACTACTGAAAACTATCTATGAAGTAAATGATAATATTTATATGAAACATCAAATAATGATCTTATTGAAATACTGCAGTTTTAACTCTGCCTCTCAACAGGTACAAAGGAATCACATCATATCATAGATAAGCATGCAAGAAAAAATGTTTGTATCAAAGATATGTTCTTTATGCCATACAAAGATATGATCTTTATGAGGAAATTATTGTGCATCTATCTTGAATCAGACAAAGAAAACACTCCCAAATTTGAACTGGATATGTGACCAATTGAGGTAGTCTCAAATTCTTTGCCATGGAGTCACAATTTTACACAGCATTTACCATCTATAGTGATGTGTAGTCTAAGATTTGTGTGCATGTTACACAATTAATGATATTTACTCAGGGATAAAACCTTAAAGAACTCAAATTTCATACCCATAGATCTTTCTGGTACTAAGAAAGCAACGTAAAACTATTTCCAACCAATCAAATAATGCAAATGATAAAGCAATATCATAAGAACCTATATTCCAAACAAAACATGGACGGCAACAGGTAACAAGAAACATTACTAAAAGATGAAAGTTTCAGCGGTCCAATATCCATACCTTTGGATTAGAATTACGCCAGGATATTCCAATCACTCCATCATTATTATTCTCCATCGACTAACAGTAATCCGTGATAAAAGTATCAAACTGCCCAATAAGAGTCAACATACAGTATAACAATATCAGCAGAAAATACCAAAATGATCATAGCTACAAAATACTATCAATTGTATGGCAATCGAGAACCTTGGGGGCTTGTGCTATAGGATCATATTAAAGCAAGATGCAAATAAAGGAACATTGTCAAAACAGGCAGAAAGGTTACGCCACATCAAGCTAAGCAGTCAGTTGAACTTTATCTGAACTTTTCTTAACTTATTGTAGATATCCTTTTTGTATTTGTACGTGAGTCATGCAAATAAAAAAAAGCAAGTGCTCAGCTTTTTCGTCTTTTTATTTGCAATTAGGATTTTTTTTATGTTAGTACAGCAGGAAGAAAAAAACCAAATTGATATTTGAAGTAGTACAGTTTATCATACGTACTCCTGGTGGTGACTATCTAGGTCCAACACACATTGTCCAATGCAGTTCAAGGTGATGTACTCAAATTCTAAGCCGAACATGTACAGCAGGGTCAAATCTTAGACTAAAGACTATTAATAACACAGGAGATCGGTGCAAATTGAAGAGTGATTCTGATTTCAACATCAGATCCAACTATAGGTGAAAGTTGATTAATTGGTCTGAATGCTGATTTGTTTTTCAAAAATCTTTCTTGACAGTTGGAAGTTTTCAGATTAACCTAGCAGATAATAACACTAAACTTTCTTACTATATTTATTTTTTAAAAACAATTCTACCATTCCACAAAAAAATTGTATTTCAGAAGACATATAAGCTTCTATGGTCTATTGGAGTCTCTAAATATAATTGACATGAATAAGATATTTACAGAAGATCTACAATGCTCCAAGAGAAATATGCATATTATGTTAAGGAACTGTTTGGTTAAAAAAAAATTTCTTAACATAAAAAGATTATGCGGGGATAAAAATAATATATTTTTAAGCACCTGTAACAACTCAGTGCCAATTGGTTGGTGCCAATCAAATAATTTCTCTCTAATACATGCTTCACAATCTTGGTATTCTATATTTACTGGAAAAGAAATCATTCGAGTGAACCAAAAAAAATTGCAAACGTAACTAAATTCTTCCAAAAGAAAATAATTATCACTTGCCACTATGTATCTAGATTGTAGACGATCAATCGTAGTCAGTAGGAGTGTAGGACCACCTTTTTTTTTTTGTTTTGAAAGGTCAATTATACTGTACCCTTTTCTTTAGTGGGAATATGCTGTACCATATGATGGAATTTCCAACCTAAAGGATAACAGAGAGCTCATACACGAAAAAGAAGGGAAGCGGTACGAAAGTAAATATTTTTTAAACAGATAAAATTAACAGAGCACTAATCCTAAGCAAGCAGATAAGTACATAAAGGGAAAAGGTAAAGGAGAAAAAGTATAGTGGCCTAGAGAACAAGAGATTCGGAATAGAGAGATTTGAACTCAAAAAGTAAAAAGGCTTTATTTTTGAAATTTCGTTCTCTACATCTATATGCAGAGCAATAAGCAACTCAGAATACTGCTGAGGAAGAGCTGAGAAGATAGGCACCCACAAGCGAACTCCAGCGGATAATCAACAAAAGAATTTAGCAAAACAAAGCTCAGCAGAAGGTGAAACTTGAGGAAGAAACTGACCTCTTTTGGATTTGCCCCTCTTCCTTTCTTGTCCCAGAGAGCAAAAGTGATTATAATCTGCTGGAATACACAAAGATAGCCTAAAAAAACAGTGATTCATGCGCAAAAAAAATAATTTAACATGTAAAAACTGACTCTTTTTTTTAAAAAAAAATTAAAAATAAAAAGGGATGTAACAGAACAAAAGAGTACCAGTAAACTGCTTCTGTCCTGAGTTTCTGGAGCAGATGAAGAAACCTTAAACTGCCCTAATTAAGCAGAGGAAACATTCAATAGATGCTGAGAAAAAAGAAAGAAAAAAGTAAAGAAGAAACAAGACAGGTTGGAACCCTCACCCCGCGGGACAGATAGAAATAATCTTGGCTGGATTCTTGGCTGACCCAGACTAGTTCTTTCGTTCACAAGATTGGGTTCTTCCCCCCTAAAATTGTTGGACTTAGCTGCTGCAGCCTGCAGCTAGCTAGCTACCGCGGGATCGATTCGGCGGGACTGCCTGCTACATCACGGCGACGGCTGCCGCTCAAGTGGGAGGAGGAGAAGCAAGACGCCGGCAAGGGGTAGGATCGAGGAGGGAGAGAGGACGAAACACGAGGACTTCTCCTTCCTGCGCCGGTGAGACGTGAGAGTGAGTGGGGAGTTAATGGTACGGACTACGGAGAGAGACGAGGAGTACTAGAAGAGAACGGAAATGCTTAGAGCAGTTACAGTAGTAAACTATTAGCCAGCTACGACTATATTTTAATGAGATAAAAAAGGAGAGAGCTACCGATCGGGCGCCCGATCGGGGCCGGGGAAATCGGGCGCTGATATCATGCTGATGTCAGCGTCAGATTTACGTGTAAAACTGTTTTAAACTGATTTCTCTTAAATTACTTATCTAAATTATGATCCGATTACACCATTAAATTCGTTGCAATTAAATCTTCAAAACAAGACCACACATGGATATATTCCGACGAAAAAAATTAGCTTATTATTAAATTATTTTTAAATATTACACGATGTTCCACCAGGTATATCGGAATTGTTTCACTAAGTAGTGCGAAAATGTTTCACTCGTTTAAATCGGGTGTTGTTTCACCTTATATAAAAGCAATGTTTCAGCAAATAGCGAAATAATGTTTCAGTTCACTACAACATTAGATCTATACATAGTGAAACATTGTATGTACACTAGGTGAAACATTTTTCGGTAGAACAAAAAATAAACCAAATTCCTTTAATAGGGAGTTTCCAAAATATATGGGGTTTTTTTTCCAATGGAATGTTTCGTTCACTATAACATTAAATCTATACATAGTGAAACATTATGAGTGTACTAGGTGAAATATTTTTGGTGGAACAAAAAATAAACCAAATTCCCTTAATAGAGAATTTTCAAAATATGTGGGTTTTTTGTTGCAAAAGAGTATTTTAATTCACTGCAACATTGGATCTATAAATAGTGAAATATTGTAAGTAGACTAGGTGAAATATTTTTTTTGGAAAAAAGGGAGAAAGAAGTGGGTGGGTCCAACAGTACAAGCGTGGGGAGGGACGCGCGGGGGGAGCGTCCGATCCGGCTCCCCCCCCCCCCCCCGCGTCGGGCGCTTGGTACCGAGCATTCTCGGATAAAAAAAAGAGAGAAGAGCAATGGGCTATAGATCTGTAGCCAGCTGCAGCACGGACTCCCAGACGCAATGTGTGTATGACAGGTGGGATCATATTGTATGAATTGGCTATTAGATTGGCTATAGATGAATTGAAACTAGTAGTGTGCTATATATATCTTTGTAGACAGACGGGTTAAGGCTCTGGAGCTTAAGTCTTCCGTCTAAGAAGATGTATTTTCACAAGCGGATGGCCATCATATCCCTCACCCACAACCATGCAGGTGGCTATTTAGGAACGAAAATTCGGCTGGCCGCATAGTGAAATAGGCCTTTTGACAGCGGAAATCGTTTTTCTAATAGCGTGCCTGCAATGATTCATTTTCTTCTTATTCGAAGCAAACCATGTGTATTTTACCTAGCTAAAAATATAATCACCTAATTCTTTGCGATTGATCAGCATTCAGCAACGAACCCACTATACTCATCTTATATAATTATAATGGGAAAATTGTAATGGCCAAATGGCTGGATAGAATGACATAACGTCGCTGGCTCGCAGCATCCAAATACAATATTGCAAATGTATTGACGATTGGTGTCAGTCAACGAGCGGTGACGGTGGCAGTGGCAGGGCAGCCGGCCGGCGTGACACGTTCGTAACGCGAGAGGCGGCGACCGGCCGGCCGCGGTCGCCGTGGAGGACTCCATTTGACCGACCGACCTCCCTCTCGCCGGCTAGCTTAATTAGCTATCGATATCAAAGACATGCCCCGTCAAAAGAAAGAAAGATACTGCTGCTACTAGTGAAGCTTGTAGTAGTATTTCCCCTTTTTTTTTTTTGACAAATTGATCCTTATAGAAAACTTATTTCAAAACTAGTCCCTACCAAAAACTATATCAGAAATAGGCCGTCGGCTCAGCGCTAATGTCTTTGGCGCTGAGATTGTTCCTATCAGCAACGGAACTGGCGCTGATATCATGCCAGCGTGGCGGGCGAGCCGCGACGTGGCGCGGTCTCAGCGCCAATATATCTGGCGCTGACCAAATGTACACACTAATTAAACTGACGCGCTATAGTTTATTAGCAATGTACTTGTGGTGTAGTGGTAATTTCTTTGATGGTGTACCCTTCAGCCAAAGTTCGAATCCCCATTAGGTCATATATTTTCATTCTTTTAATCTGCATGCGTACATATAAATGATGATCTCTGTTTTTGAAAAAAAAATAGAAGAATGGATTTAAAAAAACTTGAGTTTTTAAAAAGAAAATTTAAACAACATTTTGAGAACTAAGGTAAGTTTTATTTTAAAATGTCACGTGTTTTTTTAAATTAAAACAACACTTGAACTTTTAAAAGAAATATCACTTTTTTAAAAAAAATATTTAAAAGGAATAACACATTTAGTACATATTTAAAAATATAAGAATGGACTTAAAAATACCTGAGCTTTGAAAAAATTAAAACCGCAAGTTGAGAACTAAGTGAAAAAAAGTTTAGTAAAAACATATAGGAGGGGGTTTGAACCCTGGTCACTGCAATACCAACTCACAAGTACCTACCACGTCGCGGCTCGCCCGCCACGCTGGCATGATGTCAGCGCCAGTCCCTTTGGCGCTGACAAGAACAACCTCAGCGTCAACGGTTTTGGCGCTGACCCAACAGCCTAATTCCTAATTCCTAGATATAGTTTTTGGTAGAGACTAGTTTTGAAATAAGTTTTCTATAAGGATCAATTTGTCAAAAAAAAAAAAAAACAGTAGTATTTCTCCCTGTGGGTCAATATGCCGTCTACATACGTCGTCGCCTAGTTGCCATGCATGGCCACATCTATCCTGACGTGGATCGCCTCTGCCCTGCCTGGCACGCTGCCTGGCACGCCACCTAGCTCGTCCCTCGATCTGTCCCTACCAGCTTCATAAATAACTTTCCATAGGTGGTGTTTGGATCCAGGACTAACTTTATTCCCTATCACATCGGATGTTTAGATATTAATTTTGAGTATTAAACATAGACTATTTATAAAACTAATTACATAAATTAGAGCTAATTCACTTGACAAATTTTTTTAAGTCTAATTAATCCATAATTAGCACATGTTTATTATAGCATCACATAAGTTAATCATGGATTAATTAGGCTCAATAGATTTGTCTCGCGAATTAGGCTAATCATGGATTAATTAGGCTCAATAGATTCGTCTCGCGAATTAGTCTAGAGTTATGGAATGGGTTTTATCAATAGTCTACGTTTAATACTTCTAATTAGTGTCCAAACATCCGATGTGACAGGGACCATCCAAACTGACGGATCTCCCAGAGGCGGTACAGGTTGGAGCCTCTGCTAAGAGCATGTACAATAGTAGACTATAAGCCAACTATAAACACATATCGAGAAGATAAATAAGGAGAGAGATGAGCAGCGGGCTACAAATTTATAGTCAGCTGCAACACAGACTACAAGATACAATATGTGTATGACAAGTGGGACCAGGTATAACTAGTGCAGTATATGATTATAGATAACTATTGTATGAATTGGCTATTGAATTGACTATAGATGATTTAGAGCTAGTAGTTGGCTATACTATTAAACTTGCTCTAAGGCTGTGTTCGGCAGTGCAGGATGAGAATCCATCCCTCCTGCACGTAAAATGGAGCAGTCTTTTAACACATGATTAATTAAGTATTAGCTTTTTTTTAAAGAAAATAGATCGATATGATTTTTTAAAGCAACTTTCATATAGAAATTTTTTTTTTTACAAAAAACGCACCGTTTAGTAGTTTGAAAAGTATGCGTGCGGAAATCAAAAGAGGTGGGTTGGGAAGATGAAGTGCTGAACTCAGCCTAATAATAGTCCCCCACTGCATCTTTACTAAAATTTTCTACATACATATATGAGAAGGTGGTCTAGTTTGTTCAGCCCCTTCTATTTTTTTCTGGGTTCGCCTCGGCCACGATTTGTGCAATGGATGCAGTGGTCCTGACCTTTCTAACAGTACATATGTTTTGACAATGCTAGCTCTTGCTCTACACTTTAAAACAACAGCAAGAATGAAAAACTATATTTTGAAATTAACCTTTTCAAGGGGATGTGAACAAGTAATGATTCTTGTAAGACGGGTTATTTTGAAGCTGCAACTTTTGTGTTTTATGGCCAAAGTTCCATAAAACAACATGTATTATAACATGTGACACATAATTAATCCTGAGTATTTGGTTCCAAGATTACATAAAATTACATTCCTTGACAAATTCAAGAAAATGATAAGATTTTATATAGGCCCACATTTACTCAAATTTTGATGGTATAAAGTGTTTATAGGATTCTGAATTATTGATTAAGATGACTTAACTCTTTATTACTTCGAAAAATATTGCTTTAGACCTGTTAAAATTAGCTGAAATTTAGATATGGCTAAAGTGTTATGGAACTTTTAAACCACTAAGCCAAAGGTTGTGCACCACAAAATCATAAGAACCGTTGTTTTCTATAATTTTGACAATAAAAAAAAAGATTTTACAAAAATTACTCAATCGTTTTTATCTCCTTATAGTTATACTACTAGTATATATGTGAATGGAGAGAATCAAATCATTTTACCTTTAGCGAAGAAGAGAAAATGGGTACCAACACAACACGAGTGATAATTTGCTCTATGGCCACATGCCATGTACTATGATCGTGTTCTAACTTTTAAACTGCTTGTGTGGTTTGGATCAATTTAAGGGAATTCAAGAGTTGGAGGTGGAAATTGACTGCCTGAATCCAGGGCAATCAATAACTGTGGCATAATCACCTCCAATGTTCTCCAAACCAAGGAAACAGATTTCATCCACGACAATTTATATAGACAAATTTTGCTAACTTCGTAGTTTTGGCCATAGGACACCGCACGAAGTTACTTTTGGGGAACACACTCTAAAAATGTGGTTATTTGCCAGGAGACACTTCATCCATTAAATTAATGTTTTCATGCTGACTAGGCGAGAGCGAGGGCCACTTTTTTTACATGTCTCGACCAAGTTACCCATCATTTCTCTCTCTTTCTTATCTCTTCCTCTCTC